ATTTTATGATGCTGGTTATATTACATTTTTATTTCAAATATTATATTTTAAAATATATTGCCTTTTTTTTTTTTTTTTTTTTTTTTTAAATATTTTTTTTTTTTTTTTTTTTTTTGAGACAGAGTCTTGCTCTGTTGCCAGGCTGGAGTGCAGGGGCATGATCTTGGCTTACTGCAACCTCTGCCTCACAGGTTCAAGCAATTCTCCTGCCTCAGCGTCCCAAGTAGCTGGGACTACAGGCATGCTCTGCCATGCCCAGCTAATTTTTGTATTATTAGTAGAGATGAGGTTTCACCATGCTGTTCAGGATGGTCTCGATCTCTTGACCTCGTGATCCGCCTGCCTCAGCCTCCCAAAGTGCTGGGATTACAGGCGTGAGTCACCTTGCCTGGCCTGCCTATATTTTTTAGAAGGATTATTTTTTAAAGTTCCTATGTGATGACATGTATTTTTTTTTTATCTTTTAAAAGTTGCAGCCGGTGCAGTGGCTCACGCCTGTAATTCCAATACTTTGGGAGACAGACGCGGTCACATCACTTGAGGTCAGTAGTTTAGGCCAGCCTGGCCAACACTGTGAAACTCTGACTCCACCAAAACTACAAAAATTATCTGGGAGTGGCAGTGTATGCTTGTAATCCGAGCTACTACTTGGGAGGCTGAGGCAGGAGAATGGCTTGAAGCCAGGAGGCGGAGGTTGCAGTGAGCCGAGATAGTGTTATTGTGCTCTGGCCTGCGTGACAAGAGCAAAACTCCGTCTCAAAAAAAGAAAAAGTTACAATAAATGAATTATCTTTTACCAAGTGTAAAACATTGTGGACATGAAAAACCCATAAATAATCATGTTTAGTTTTTGAAAATGTCATTAAATAAGAAAAATAACTTTCAAGAGGTTAAAACTTCCCTTTAAATTACTGCACATGCAGTAAAAAATTATTACTATTATTAAAAAAATTCAACACCATAAGAAATGAATTAGATATTATACCCAGAAAAGGCAAAAGCAATGTTATAAAAGGCATAGAATTATGCAAGGTCTTTAATCAATTCATGATCAATTCCAAAACAATGATCCCACAAAGAAAACATAATGTAGTTCAGCAGCACAAATACTACATTCAAAGATGGATTTACCGTTGCTTTAAAAACAAGCTAAGTTTTTTTCTCTATCACAAGGGTTAACATATTTTCTCTTGGCAGTAAAATATGTTATCTAAATGTATCACTGCTGAAACTACAGAGAAAAATTTACTACTAATGAAAAACTTAAAAATCCTCTAGGAGAAGTTTGTTTCAGTGAGTAGAAAAGTAATTCTCAGAAAAGATAAATAATCTGGTTTTGAATATAGTCAAGAATTATGATTATATACTATTTTGTAACCTATCTTCAACAGTGGTTACTATCAACAGGTAAGTGTGCCCCACAGGTAAAGTAAACTTGGGTTTTTGAACTCATTTAAAACTAAATAATGTATCTGACATGCTGATCTTAACCTATTTATGCTGGAAGTTGCAATTTCTTTTGCGAAAAATCAGACTTTGGAGATGACCTTGAGCAATAGGATATAAATAAGTCCCACAAACTTACCATTCCAATAATATAACATTAGGCATAAATGAGTTAAAATGTCATACTGACAAAAAACAAAAATAGGTGAAAAATAGCTTCATCTCAGTAAAGTCTAATATTTGAGTGATATTTTATGGATGAACAAAATTGAGAGAATAAAAAGAGATTAATAAATCTGATAAGGAAACATTCATTAGTAACTAAAGGCAAATTCACACAACCACTATGACATTTCTCAAGGCCACAGAGAGAAATTAGACAGGGATATCTGTTAAAGAATTGGAGATACCTTTTTCTCCCTCATATAAGGAAATAAAGTGGTTTCCATCTGATTGGTAATGTGACAGCCCACAACACTGATTTTGAGAATATAGTTGTTTTTTTTTTTTTTTTTTTTTTTTTTTTTTGAGACAGAGTCTTGCTCTTATTGCCCAGGCTGGAGTTCAGAGGCACAATCTCTGCTCACTGCAACCTCCACCTCCTGGGCTCAAGCGATTATCCTGCCTCCGGCTCCTGAGTAGCTGGGATTACAGGTGCCTGCCACCATGCCCAGCTAATTTTGTGTGTGTTTTTAGTAGAGACGGGGTTTCACCTCGTTGGCCAGGCTGGTCTTGAACGCCTGACCTCAAGCAATCCTGCCTTGGCCTCCTAAAGTGCTGGGATTACAGTCATGAGCCATGGTACCCAGCTAATTCTAACTTATTAACTTGAGTAACACAGTTATAAAAGCTCATCTTTTACTGTATTTTATTGTATCTCTTTTCTAAACTATATCACTTATGTCAAAACCTATTAAAAGAGGCCAAATTTTCTCCTTTCTCCTATTTGGCATACAGTTTCTTTCAGGGAGCCTATCTACCACTGTGAAACTTTCTAGCTTTTAGTGGCTACTCCAAGGCTATTTCTAGCCAACTGTTATATGCACTGCTAATGATATTCTGCTTTTAAATGTATTTTTTTCCCCACTTAAGGCACATCCAATGTATTATCTCATTAGCTCTATCCCTAGCTCATCTGGTTCCTAATACATATATCTGAATGAATACTTCTTTTATAATTCCTACCTTCAAAAATTAATTATATTTGTTTAAATACCTTTTTGACTCTTTGGTGGCACTAATCTGATTAAAGTGAGAAAGAAACCTAAAGGCCTTTAAGTGGAAAAAAATTAACTGATAATTATCTTTCTTCTATTATCAATTCTCTTTTTAATTCAGCCACTTTTACTTCCTTCTCATCCTATGAATTTATGTTCTACGTACTTTTTTCTACCTTGAATTTTTCCTATGTTATTCCCTACTCTTCAGAGTTAGAACATGTTAAACACAGACAAAATAGGAATGTTGTAAGGAGAATTTTTTAAAAGTGAAATGAATGGAGGTTTCCTGTTATGCTATATAAAAAATCAATTGAAATGATGAAAACTATTAACATGCAAATATCTGAAAACAACAGGAAAGAAAATAGGCTTTAAATTTTACAGAAACAAAAGTAACCACGGGCCAGGTGTGGTGGCTCACATCTGTAATCCCAGCACTTTGGGAGGCCGAGGCAGGTGGATCACGAAGTCAAGAGATTGAGACTATCCTGGCCAACATGGTGAAACCCCGTCTTTACTAAAAATATAAAAATTAGCTGGGTGTGGTGGCACGTGCCTGTAGTCCCAGCTACTCGGGAGGCTGAGGCAGGAGAATTGCTTGAACCTGCGAGGCAGAGGTTGCAGTGAGCTGAGATGGCGCCACTGCACTGCAGCCTGGTGACAAAGTGAGAGTCTGTCTCACCAAAAAAAATAAAATAAAATAAAAATAACCAGAATGATCAAATGAACACAACAGCTTTATGAGAAACTAGGGAGCATTCTTGGTTAAGCACTGTTACTATAGAGACCAGTTGGCAGGTGGGTGCCAAGGGGGGGGTATAACAAAACAAATACTTCATCCCTCGAGGCAGCTACAGTCTGTTTTCCACACAAAATTAAACCAGATTTTCCACCAATCTGATTTATAAATCCTTCCGCTTGAAATGTAAACTTAAAAGGTTTTGATAAACAGCAGAGCCAATCTTGGGCTACCAAAAAAGAGAGCACATGCACATATGCAACTAAATATTTAGCTAATTTTGATCAATTTATTTGAATTATTTATTTTTCCTTTCAGAAAAGGTTCTGGGTAGTCAAGGGCCTAGGACAAGTCTCCAAAATATATTTTAAGATGCATTATAAACAAGCCCACCCCCATCCTTCTACCTTCATTACATAACAGACTGGTGAATTATGACTATACTTAAGAAGACAGGAAGTGGCAAGTGAAAATGGAGAAAAACTAATCAACAAAGTCACAAGATACAGAGATAGAATGCTTTCGGAGATGTCACACCTCAAATTTCTTCTTTTTTTTTTTCTAGAGATTGGGTCTTGCTCTGTTACCCAGGCTGGAGTGCAGTGGTATGATCTGCAACCTTGAACTCCTGGACCAAAGCAATCCTCCCACCTGAGCCTCCCAAGTAGCAGGGATTACAGAAGTGAGCTACTATGCCCAGCTTCAAATTTCTTTAATAGGCTGAGTTAAACCTGTCCAAGCAAGATGAGAAGCATAATACCTACTCTATTATCTTATTGGTTCCATGATTTTATGAGTCAGAGCAAACTGAACTCTGCCTCAAATAAAAGTTTATGTTATTGTACCTCTATTCTTTTGAATCACAATAAAAATCTCACCTGACAAAGAAGCTGAGGTTCAAGGTTCATGATGACAGGATATGGAATTTGAATCCAGGTTAAGACAACTTCAAAGCTGGTGCCATTTCCACTACCCAGCACTGTCACTGGTAAAAGTATCCTTCCAGACAGAATGTGTTCTAGTTATGGGTACCCATTTTCTTTCCTGAAATAGTAAACTCTCTTTCTGTGAAATAACTGCTAAATCTTCTTGTGTGGTTTTTATATACTAATTAATCTCTTAATAACTTAATGCATGCTTTTGCTATAAATAACCTAATATTCATTTTGTGAAATGCAGCAAAAAGAACAAAATGGTCATTTCCTTTCACTAAGATAATTTCTCTTTCCATTCTCTATAGATATAAGAAAATATTTAACAAAAGTGATTTACTAGCAATAAAATCTTAAACACAAATATCTTACTAACACAACTATGGTTACGATATCAACCAACAGCACAGAGTTCAGATCTGACATTCACAACCATGCACACTTGATACTGTGACTTGTTAACTTGGACAATGGCATTTACCAACTTTGTATTTATCAAAACCAACAGTTGTGACTATACTGCTTATAGCCCTGTGGCTATGCAATGATATTTAGTAATTCTCTAATTTCATTACTAAGTGATTTTCTCTGAAGTGGGTATGGTTTTCCTTTCAGGATTAAAAAATACTACCCACATCTAAGATTATTTTTCATTTCGACATGCTTCACCTGAAAGAGTCAAGAAAGCATTTCTCTAATGCATTTTAGATGTCTAGTATCAGTCATTTGCTCAACTACTAGTCACTCACACAGCCTGCAATTATGCACAAAACAACCTGCTATGGTGATAACAAGGTAAGAAACAATCCTACCATCTAAAAGGTTCCAATCTAGTAAAGATGACACATACCAGCAACTAACTGAAAACATAAGGACATACATCCAAATATTAGAAGTACAAAAAGTACTGTTTATCACAGATAAAAATGCTAATGAATTCTGATTAGTGAATAAAGAAAAAGATTGCCAAGAGGTGATATCTAATTGGGCCCTTAGGATAAATGGGATTTCTACATATGGAAGGTGGAAATGAAGATGGAAGTATAGAGAAAGATATTCCAGGTTTTTGCCTTATGTGAACAAAAGCCCATGTTTATAAGAATGCCTAGGGAATCTGAAGCAGTCTTGCATGACCAGAACCTAGAATACATACCTGTCGTAGGTAAAAAAAAAAAAAAAAAAAAAAAAAAAAAAAAAGACAATCTTAACGAGCTAAATCTGGGTTTGAATATATAGGATCTTTAGTGCCACTGCAAATTTGAACCTCATCTTACAGACAATGGAGATCCAGTAAAAGTGTTTAAACAAGGAAAGTAGTATGATTCAATTAGTGATCGAAGATAATGCCAAATAAGCAGTGAATTGAGTTAATATAGAGGGATAAAAATGGAAACAGGAAGAGATAGATGAGTAGCTATTAATATATTTAGGTAGAAACAAAGGAGCAATGTAAAGTTAGAATGACTAGAAGGATGGTGGTCATATTAACAGAAGCAGCCATCACATGAGAATATGTTGCTGGGGAGGGAAGGAACAAAGAAGGGAAACTAATCAAAGATAATGGCTTCAGTTTTGAACATTCTAGTACAGCTGTTCAGATGACCGATTGTGAATTATGGTCTGGAACTGAGAAGAGAAGTGGAAGCCAAAAATAGAGATTTAAAAGGTAGTGGCATAGGGATGACATTTGAAAACATGAATAAAAGTGAAGTCAACTACAGAGAAAGGACAAAGAAAAAGAAGGGTAAGGGTAAGACCTTTAGACATCTCCATTTAAAAAGTGGGAAATACTTTAAAAAGTACAGTGAGGCAGAACATAAGCAATAGAGGAAAAAATGTCACAGAAGTCAAAAAAGAGAAGTTTTAAAGGGAAGTCAATCACTGAAAGCCATGAAGAGAGTTAGAAGGTGACGAGGACTAAAGTTACGAAACTTGGCCAGATGCGATGGCTTTTACCTGTATTCTCAGCACTCTGGGAGGCCAAGGTGGGAACATCACTTAAGGTGAGGCATTTGAGACCAGCCTGGGCAACAGAGTGAGACCCCATCTCCACAAAAAAGTTAATTAAAAAAAGTATCTGGCTGTGGTGACACATGCCTGTAGTCCCAGCTACTTGGGACGCTGAGGTGGGGGAGGATCACTTGAGCCCCGGAGGTCAAGGCTGCAGTAAGCTATGATCATGTCATGTGCCACTGTACTCTAGCCTAGCCACAAAGCAAGACCCCATCTAAAAAAAAGAAAAAAGAAATGAAAGTTCTGAAACTTATCAAATCTCTGGTACCTGGGGGTAATTTCAGTGGCAGATAAAACCAGATTTCAGGGTAATTTAAAAAATTATTGAGGCCAGGTACAGTGGTTCACACCTGTTATTCCAGCACTTTGGGAGGCTGAGGCAGAACTCCTGAGGTCAGGAGTTCGAGACCAGCTTGGTCAACATGGTGAAATCCTGTCTCTACTAAAAATACAAAAATTAGCCAGGTGTGGTGGTACATGTCTGTAATGCCATTTACTTGGGAGGCTGAGACAGAAGAATTGCCTGAACCCAGGAGGTAGAGATTGCAGTGAGCCAAGATGGAGCCACTGCACTCTAGCCTGTGTGACAGAGAAGAGGCTGTCTCAAAAAAAAAAAAAAGAAATAAAAAATTATTGAGCACATATAAACTACTTTTTAGAAAAGGTTGGTAAAGAATGGAGATAGCCACTAAAGTGTCAAAACTTTTGGTCAGTGCTAAACACCAGCTGATATACTGAAAACTTAGAATGTGCTTGTTACTGGGGAAGGATGTTAACCAAATAGTGAATGAGAGCATAACTGGGAATAACTCAAGTGTGCTGTTTTGGTTTTAACTTCGTTTCTAAATTGAGTAAATTTTATGAATAGTCATAATAATAAAGTGAGAGGAAGCTGTTTTTAGTTATAAAAGTATCTATGATGCCTATCACTTCAAATCAAATAGAATGTTACAACTAGTACTGAACAAGCACAGAAACTTGCTTTACTTTACAGAGAAACACTAAAAATATGGAACCTCAGTTAAAAAAAAATATTGTGAACATAATGAAGAATAATTTCCCCAACATTTGGGGGAAAGAAGAGATAAAGAAAATCTTAAGGCCAAATAATAGAACATTAGAAAGTAGTCTGAATTCATAAAATAACAGTTTGAAATATAAAACTTGTCCAATAACCCTGCAGTTCAGATTTTATTTATTTTATTCTCATGCAGATCACTGGCAAATCTGTAACCTAAAGTACTTTAAGAGCTGAAAGAGAATTATTTTGTTAGCCTAATATTTGATAGGCTCACCACTAATACTACTTGGAAAATTGTGAAATAAAATGACTTACAGAGAATTTTTCTCACTTTTTTCTGAATTCTAATTTTATGACATTGCAAGAAACACAGTAAAAATATTCCTACCCTAGGTATAAAAATTGCATTTTTGGATCTTCTCATGTGAGCAAAGACTGCTGTGAGTCTATGAGAGACCTATGTGGAAATCTTACGTATTTTACTATCATGGTCTATGGGTTTTGAATTCATTGGCAGAAATACAATCAAAATGATACATTAAATCACAGCCACAGCATTTATGATTACAGAAATCTTGTTCCATAGCATTTCTTCAGCGGAATTTTTATTTAACAAAGAGGCAAAGACAAGAAAATACCTTTTTTTTGGAAAACATTCCTGAAGCTTCTAATAGAGGCTATTTCGATTGTCTATTAGATTATAATAATTTAACTTAAAAATGTCAAGAAGTTTTTAGTCTTGTTTTGTCAGATTCAATTTATCTTCCTTACTTTAGATAAGGAAAAACTAAGCTGTTTTAATAGCTAACTTAATGTCTTACTACAAGTGTCTATAGAATGAGAAGAGACTTTGCTAATTTTAAAAACAGTATATTTTAGTAGTGTGAAACCCACCTGCTGTCATCAGTGTAACATACCCTTCCATTTAATTCCCTAAAATCTAGGGATTTAACACCCTTAATTGGTTGGGTGTGGTGGTATGCACCTGCATTAAGGCTGCCTGGGAGGGTAAGATGGGAGGATTGCTTGAGCCCAGGAGTTTGAGGCTGCAGTGAGCTGTGATCATGCCACTGCACTCCAGCCTGGGTGACAGAATGACAACCTGTCTTAAAAAAGAAACTATATATATATGCACACGGTTTAGAGTCAACTGGTTCTACAGCTTGTTAAAACAAACAGCAATCCCCAGCCCTCCTCTTTTAACATATTTCCTTCTGCAGAAGCAACCACTTTAATCTCTCTTAGCCAATTGTTTTGGTAGTTAATCAAATATTGAAGAATATGGCTTTACTGATATTTAAAAATTTTTCTATTTTAGACATTATCTATTGACTTTCTACTATGAAATAGGAGAATCTGAATCCTTCCTCCTCCATCACTACCCAGTAGGTGCATACATACTCCTACTCCCTCACCCTCCCTATAAAGTTACATAGTAATTTTCATAAGGGCAAACAATAGTATGACTATATATGCTATTTAGACTCCAGTCACAGAGTAATACCTATGTAGACTGCAGCATAGCGGTGAGGAGCATGGACTTGAAGGCATACTTTCAGGGTTTATATCCTATCTTTGCCACTTACTGGCTATCTAGCTATTTAGGCAAGTTACTTCACCTCTCTATGCCTCAGTTTCCTTATCCACAAAATACTCACTGTAACATTATCTACCTCCTGGGTTTCCAAGGATTAAAAAGTTCATATATGTAAAGAGCCCAATATGTTAAAAAGTGCTATAGAAGTGTTCTCTATGTCCTGAACTACTTTTTTGTTTCTCTTATAGTGTTCTCTTGTATTATTCATTTGCTTAGATACCTATGTGCTTATTGTTAATTCAACCACAAATGCACTTCCCATTCTTTCAATTGATTGACTTAGTTTATCAATTTTGTGTTCTTGTAAAGTCTCCCTACAGCCTTATCAGCTGCTGCAGTCTGAACTGGCTGTCTTTATTTTACATCTTGTACAGAGCCATTAAACTTGGTTCTCTCTATAGCATTCTACTAAAAGTTCCCTTTTTCTCTACCCTGTGCTGGATGGAACTCCTGTCCTCATTTTTAGTAAAACATCCTTCATTAGCTTCAAGAGAAATGATGTGTAGGAGGTGATCTTTTTTAAGTCTTGAATGTCTGAAAATGTCTTTATGCTATCCTCATACTTGACTAATGGTTTAAAGCTAAATATACAACTTTGGGCTGAAAAAAAATTCCTTCAGAATTTTGAGGGCATTCCCCATCATTCTCTAGCTTCTGATATTGCTTATGGGAAGTCCAAAGCCTTTCTGATCTTTTGTATACAATTCAATTCCCCCCCTACTTTTTTTTTTTTTGCAGGTTTATATGATTGTCTCTCTGTCACCAGAGACAATTTGAAATTTCACGGGCTGGACGAGCATGTTGGCTCATGCTTGTAATCCCAGCACTTTGGGAGGCCGAGGCGGGCAGATCACAAGGTTAAGAGATCAAGGCCCTTCTAGCCAACATGGTGAAACCCATCTCTACTAAAATACAAAAATTGGCTGGGCATGGTGGTGCAAGCCTGTAGTCCCAGCTATTTGGGCGGCTGAGCAGGAGAATCGCTTGAATCTGGGAGGCGGAGGTTGCAGTGAGCTGAGATCGTGCCATTGCACTCTAGCCTGGTGACAGACTGAGACTGTCTCAAAATAAAATAAAATAAAATTTCACGAAATGTGCCTTGTCATGGGAACTCAGTAAGCCTTTCAATCTGGAATCACATATGTTTCAGTGGTGGGAAATTTCCTTAAATTATTTTGCCAGGGTTTTGCTCCCTTTCTTTTACTTTTTTTGGAATTACTGTTTTGATATTCAACTTCCTAGACTGGTCCTCTCCTTATTTTATCTTTTTTTCTCTCTCTACTTTCTGAGATATTTTCTCATTTCCATTTTCCAACACTTCTATTGAGTTTTATATTGCAATTTTTTGATAAAAGCTCAACTCTGTAAAACATTCTGTTCTTGTTTCATGTATGTAATATCCTATCTTTCTGAGGATACTAATCATTTTTAACAAGTTTTCTGTTCCCTGCCTAGTCTCTATAACTCCAAGTTATTTTTTTTCCTTTTTCTTTCTCGTGTGTGTGTGTGTGTGTGTGTGTGTGTGTGTGTGTGTGTGTGTAAGTTAGTCTCTCTCTTTCAGGTTTTTCTTGGGAAAGTTGGTATCCTTAGATCTTTCTTCTTGGGCTAAATACCCAAGGTATTCTTCTAATCCCTTGACTGTAAAGTAAAGGCAAGTGAGAGGAGAAAGGTGGAGGAGTTTCATCATTCTATGTGCACATATTCACTTAATTCCCTCATATGCGGTAAAATGCCCTGTTCTCAATTTTGCCTAGTATCTCCCAGTTGAAAGATTCTTGGGCTTTTTTTTTCCTGCAAAGAGTACACTTGGAGTCTTATACCAAGGTGGAGGTATAGGTAGGAAGAAAAGTTGTTCAGTGGAATGGGGAAAAAGAGGAGGCCTGGGGATCTACTGCCACATGTGTCTGGCTCAATTCCTGAGCTGAAGATTCTGTGGTAAAGATCGGCTTCATTTTTAGCTTTCTTCATAGCCAGATTAAGATTTGGCTTTCTTAAGTGAGCTATGTCATTTGCCACACTCTGCTTTTCAGCTTTCAATTTGTGTTTGTGTGTGTGTATGAGTGTTTTCTTCTTTCTCATTCTCCTTGAAGGATCATGTCTTTAAAATAAAATACCTTTACTAGTTTAGTACAGTTTCTGGAGGAGTATAATTAGATGCTTGTGTTCAATCTGCCTTTTATCTCTCCAGATGTCCTGGTTGAATCTAAAAATCATTCCTACTTCCCATCCGATTGTCCAACCACCACAGTGGTGTGCTAAGACTAACATGGCCTTACGGCTGATTAACATCAACCTATAGCGTGGATATCACATTTTAGAATACTCTACTCTGGGCTTCTCGGGCACCAATTTCCACAGAACTTGACTGTATAAACTGGGAACAGCAACTGTGACAATTGCCTATACAAATGACTTGCACAAATTAGAAAGGGAATCCCTTATTGAAGAAATTTACTGCCATCTACTGGAAATTTTATGAAATAACTACAGATCAACCATAACAAGTCAGGTAAACCTAGGAATTAATTGGGTACAGACAATTTGCGCAAACCTAAGAGGCAGCACTGCCTAGGAACCACCTTCACAGAAGTAAACAAATCTCCACTGTGCTAGAATATGGAAAAGAAAAGATCAAATTAGTAATTCCAACTTCAAATTACAGCAGGAATTGTGGTCTAGCACTTCAACTTGGAATTGATAACTAATCTCCCAAACGAAAAAAATGTTACTGCTAATCAAAATCTAGCTCATAAGAGTAACATAAAAATTGATTTTAGTAGGTTAGCTGGAGAACTTAAGTACTTGTTTTTATTTTATTCATATCAGTTTTGAGACCCAAATAACAACTTCCAAAAGAATATTAGGAAAGTGTTCAAATGTAAATGAAGTTTTTGCATTTAATTGGCTAATAATGCAAGCTTCTTTCTAATGGGCAAGCTTGACTACATCGGATTGGCAGAAAGGTCAGTTCTGTTACAATGTTTGCTTTGAAAACTTTAATGTTCCACCACAATTGATTTATTTTAGGGGACAATTTGCACATATCACAAAATTTGTGATTGCTTATGCACAATTTCATCTGTAATAAACACTAAATGAACAAAGAAAACTCTATTCAATAAGCCATGTTCATCTAACTCATAAAGTTAGAACTGATGCTAATTTAATCTAATATACAAAATGCTCATATTCATATACACCTCAAACATCTACCAGCTGCCTAAGTTCACTGCATGAGTGTTATCAGCCACACTCAAACATGTCTGTTGTAACAACATTCTATCTGATTTTAAATAACCCTCCTTCTATCAATTCACAATAAACTTACAAACTAGTCTGTTGCCCACCACCACAAGAAAACTTTAAGATTTTTTCAAGGTAAAGTGCTATATTCATTACTGTGGTTGAAACCTAGTTTTACCATCCTTTTGTGTGTCACCGAGCATGTTTTTGAGAGTAGTGCCCCTAACCACTTTGTCTCCATTTGCATAGGATAGTGATTTTTAGGACTCTGTATGTCACATTATAACAGAACTGACTGTAGCTGGCTATTTTATCCCATAATTAAGCCAATTCTTCCACAATATTATCATCAGTATTACCACATACATATTCCTGAATCTTATTTTAAAGAACAAATATATATTTACTCATGGTTTTTAAGAAAACCCCAAACTATTCAACCAAAACCTTCAGGAACATTTTTCCAGGGTTTTCTACCTTAACTATTCAAAATGATTTTGATAATTCTTGAGCTCATTTGAGCTCTCCTCAAATTACTTGCATATCACTACAATTATTAATGCAGAATACAAATATAAAACCAAGATATTATGTAGCTGTTTTAATGTGAGCATTCTTATAGACAGTAGTCAAATAATCTTATTTTGTAGGACAGGAACAAGACATGACATTTTAAAGAAAACCAATGGCTGCCTTATCCATTGAGCTCCAACTTTCAGAGCTAGAAATACTAGGATATTATTTTTTATAAAGATTTTGATCACTTATATGTATTAATGTATCATCATAAAGTTCAAGGTCTCCTTCTGTTGGTTAAGTAAATACATACATTAATAGCCAATCTAAATATTGACTACTGCCATATACAGGCATTATTTATCAGCATTTTTACTCTATTTTAAAAAGGGAATGATACATCTCTTATATTAAATCTTCATTACTCACATATCCCATCTATCATTGCTATTACCATCCAGTAGTTTTATAGAAGATTCTAGCATCTGGAAACTATTTCATAAATTATCTGGATATTTCTAACAATATCTTGGGAATAAAAAAGGAGTCCTCACTAGTTTACAAATAGAGAAATACTAAAATAGAAGCATGAGATTTCTGCAGCCTTGAGATATTAGAACTGACACTAATTTAACATTTTATCATAAAATACTAAAATAGAAGCATGAGATTTCTGCAGCCTTGAGATATTAGAACTGACACTAATTTAATTTAATAGAAAGGGCCAGGATTAAAACCAAGGTTTCCTAGCCTAAGCAACATAGTGAGACCCTGTCTCTACAATAAATTAAAAAACGAAAAAAGCCAGGCATGGTGGTAAGTGCCTATAATACCAGCCACTTGGCAGGCGGAGGTGGGAGAATCAGTTGAGCCTGGGAAGTTGAGGCTGCAGTGAGTCATGATTACACCACGCCACTGTAAATCTAGCCTGGAAAACAGAATGAGACCCTTTCTCAAATAAAGAAAAAAAGCTAATGTTTGATTAATTAATATCTTTTATTAATTTTGATCAAAAGCTTTATCCTTTATAATATTTTTATAAATACCCTAGAGAACATATTCCAGTTTAATATTAATTTCTCTCAAAGCTTCCTCAAGTTTTTAGTTGCTTAGAGGTCAATAAACTTAGGAAAAGACGGTATACAGTAAAAGGTTGGCTTTTCCTCAGTTTTCCAACTTAATTTCCTTTCTTGGTCTTCATGTATATGTATAAACAAAAAAATTTTAGATAGTTAGCTTTGACTCTAAAAGGCTTTTGATATAGTCTCAAGGCTTGCTAGAATATATCAGAGGCATATTATGTTAAATTATAATTTTAAATATATTTACCAAATGTTTATGGGTTTTTGAGGACTCTAGGATAATAAAACAAATTTACTATCACAGGCACAGTTTTTATAAAAACCCAGACATTCTCTAAGTAAGACCATGGGATAACTTTAACATTTTATCATAAAATACTAAAATAGAAGCATGAGATTTCTGCAGCCTTGAGATACTAGATGTTTAGTTTTGAATTTACCAGTTCATCACTTTCTGTTTGAGGACTAAGAAAGCCTTGGACTTATGAGTATTTGGCATTTTCTAATTAAACCAGCTTTATGATCATGTTTATGAGGTTACATGCAAACAAGTGTTCTTGCTCATTTTAGGCTCATACTGTAGTTTACCCTTTTGGGCATGAAAACATGAACTTTACTGGAATGTCAAAGGAATACAACAAAAACACTGGAGAGAGTTCCCAATTTGCCTTGTGCTATTCACCGGCCAAGCAGTAAGCAATATGAACTAGCAGGGATAAATTTTCTTCCCTGAATAGTTTAAACTTAGAGAATCTTTTGATGACTAAATTAAAATCTGGATATTGTTACTAGGGGAAAATAGTTTTTTCCTAGGTTTTCTAAACCTTTAAGTGGGTACTTTAGACATGATGCTCATGTGCCTTAAGAAAACATCTCATTTCACTGGAAAAAAATTTGATGAAACAAAATCTGTGTCAATTTTAGTATCCCTGGAAACCTGTAAACTCCTGAATGCAATAGTCTGAGAACACTTGTCAGTAAGAAGTAAATTCTGTGCTTA